TTCTCGTCAAGAGTCTCCCAGCTCCTAACTGATGTTGTCATTACTGTGTTGACTATCTTGTCAGGCAGGTATTCTTATTCCTGTGCTGAGTCAGGAGTTTCTTAGCTCATCTGAGGCTCTTTGTTTTAGGCTGTTAGTCCTTCAAGAGTCTATTATTTAAGGATCACCAGGCCATTGAGTAGAGCCAAAAAATCAGGTAGGATGGAACATATACATATTTGAGTCAGGGTGTGTTAATCCCAAAGATTGGAGGAGAAAGACCACTGACCCAAATCACATGACCAAATTAATTAAAGCAAGCTTTTTGAATTCATGTATACAACCTGGCTCCTCCTAAGGTGAGGTTCAAGAGGTCAGCATTGGATGTGGGGAAGATAAAGTTTTTATAACTCAGGGGTAGGTATAGATGGACGTTTCCTGTCTTGACTGCCTGCTCCCAAATACCCGACAGCTGCTTTCCAAATTACCACACAGAGGCTTATATTAATTATAAAAGCTCAGTCAATAGCTGAGGCTTAACTAACTAGCTCTTACACTTAAATTTTAACCCGTAATTCTTATCTATGTTTAGCCATGTGGCTTGGTACCTTTTTTCAAAACAGCATTCTCATCTTGCCTCTCTGCATTTGCCAGCCACTCTCTGACTCTATCCTTCCTCTTCCCAGAATTCTCCTAGTCTGGCTCCCAAGCTCAATCTCTTCCTGCCCAGCTGTCAGCCAATCAGCTTTTTATTAGCAAATGAGAGTAATGCATATTCATAGTTTAGAAAAAAACGACTGTTCCACAGCAGGTAGGGGAGTTCCAAATGGGGGATTTGGCAGGCAAATAGGCAGGGTTATAAAGCAGAACATAACAAGGTGGTCATAACAAGGTAGTAATAACAACAGGTAGTTATAATAACTTTTTGAAACAAAGGTCGGGTTGTAAAATGGTCATAATAACTTTTGAAACAAAGACATGGTTGCTGTTTCCTGGAAAAGCCAGGCAGTAAAGAACCATTTGTATTTAAGGTTACAGGTGAGACATAGCTCAATCCTTGAGAAACAAAAGTTTAATCATAGACAAGAATTAACCTAGTTTGTCTTATTAATTCCACCAAATGGGAGTAAAGAGCATTACCCAAATTCTTTGGTCAAATTATGCAAGCTTTATTTTCTGTCAGACAGGGAGGGCTGTTTCCCTAAAGTAAGGTTTGAGAAAATAGCATTGAACACAGGAGAAGGTTTATATAGGCCCCAAACCTGCAAGACTGGGGGAGGGGGAGTGTTCACAGGTTAGGAGATTTCCAGAGGAATTTTGGTTATGTAGAAACTTGGCAGAACATCTTATCAGGGTGGAGGTTAGGGTATAGCGTGTGGAATACGTCAAATTCCAGAAAATAAGTCAAGGCATGATTAAACCCAAGTTTTACAGAAAACAGGAGTAACTAATTTTGATCTTGTAACAAGATGGCTTCTAATGTTAAGATGGAGACAAGCTAGTCCATCAGTCTTTACTATCAGATAGCTTTCAAACCTAAGATGGAAGTCGGCTGATTCATCAGGTGGTCACACTGTATAGTCCTGACTGATTTTAAAGTTGCTATAGAGATCCCAATGGCCTCCAACTCACAGACTTCCACCTACCTCAGCCTCCCAAGTGCTGAGATTAAAGGTGTGCATCACCTCACCTGGCCTCAAAACAATATTTGTAAAGTTAGGTCTGAAGAAATGCAACATAAGAATAAAAGGGGAGAAGTTAAAGTCACAATATCCTCTAAGCGACAATAAAAATATACTTAATTCCTAAATTAAAAACACAAGCATCTCTTTGGATTAGAAACTACTATCACAAGTTTTAAGTATATCAGTGGGAATTTAGAGGATACAACAGGAAGTTTCTCAGGAAATAGAACAAAAGAAGAGATGGGAAATCAGAAAGTACAAAATTTTTTAAAAGTACCAAATTAGACAACAAGTTGAATTCCCCTAGCTAACAAGAGCTACACAAAGGAGGAAAAGACAAAAGGTGGAAATTAATTTTGAAGGAACTAAAGTAGGAGGCCATTTTGCCAAACACCACCTCTCATTTTTTTTTTTTTTTTAAGCAGGAATAAGGAAAGAAGCAAAACAAGAAAAGTGGGAAGCATGGAATTCAACAGCAATCTCTATCTCCCTAAATGAGGCAGCAAAGAAAGAAACGTGAAGAGGAATTGAGATTACGGTTACCAAACTGAGGATCGCAGCTCACACCCCAACACCTAGATCTGGCCCCCTATTCTCAGTAAGTTGATGAAAAGAGCCAAATAAATAATGACAGGCATGAAAGGGGATTTATTCAATGTGGCCATATTGGGAAGGGAGACAAAGAGATCCGGCGATCTCTCAAGTCCATCTCTGGGATCTTGACTTGAGGTAGTATTTAAAGACAAGGCCAGAAGTACTCATGACTCATCAGTCCGGCCATGGCACGTTCCTTTGTTCAACATTGTTTCAGCTCCAAGTCTGTCCTGCAAGGTGATCTGACAAGTTGTGACTCTTTCAAGACACAGGTTCCTCCCTGGCTGTCCCACCCTGGCTGTCCCACCCTCGTCACTCATTCCTTTGCCCAACAGGAGATTGCCGGAGAAATTTTGATTTTGTGGGATTATACTTCTAATAGTCTGTTAGGCAAAGGATACAAGTGTATCTTTAGAACCTGTTCATGCTTGGCCAGACAGGCTGCTTGTAGTATTAATATTTGAAAAGTCTTATCCAGGTTCCTTTTGTTAAGCTTCCCTTCTCAGTTACACATATGGACAGTCAAAGAATCACTTTGTATCTCTTCATATTTCAGTTACTAGACATAACCTATTTAGCTACTCTAGTACATTGAAAACTTCTTCGTGGCAGGAACCATGGTATTTACCTTGCATACTCAGAGCTTACCATTACCCGTGGACCTTAGTCGGCCTTCTCCACTACTGCTTGTAGCTCTTCAGGGTGGATTATGGGGCTTGTGTGAGTTTGCTATAATTTATAGAGTACTTCATCTGGAGTTAATTCTTGCATTGACAGGAAATGACATTTGTGGAAAACCTTCAGGTGTTAAAGAAAATTATAAAAGAATGGCAAATTCAAAACTGGAAAGAAGCATACGAGAGGCTGAAGCAGGAGACTTGCAGGAGGGTAGGAGACTATTTCTGAGCTACATGACAGCCAGCTAGGGCTACACAGCAAGACCTGCCTCAGGATTAAATTCAAAAGGTTGTTTCTTGGTCGGGAGGTGGTGGCGCAAGCCTTTAATCCCAGCACTCGGAAGGCAGAGGTAGGCGGATCTCTGTGAGTTGGAGGCCAGCCTGGGCTACAAAGTGAGTTCCAGGAAAGGCACAAAGCTACACAGAGAAACCCTGTCTCGAAAAACCAAAAAAAAAAAAAAAAAAAAAAAAAAAGATTATTTCTTAAGCTACACACACACACACACACGTACAAGCACATCGTCAGACGTTTGTAAAGCTGAAGAAGGCGAAAGGCTGTATGTGACCTTTCATGAGCCTTGAGTTTTTGTTTTGCTTTTTAAAAACCAGTTCCGGTGCTAGGTCCCGGAGAGTAATTCGGTTCTTGGGTCTACCCAGCACTCTCAAAATAACAGTCTAGAATGGAGAGGTAGCTGAACGAACGGACACAAGAGAGCTCGCCCGTGCAGGCGCAGAGAGGACTAGTGACACTCTCGACACGAGGCTACAACCTAAGGGGTCAACGCAGCTGCTCCCGCAGAGGGCAAGCTGCAGGATGCTGCCCTTGCGAGCCACCAGCTGAGCGGCCACGCCCCTCCGCCACCAAGCTGGCTGCCACGCCCCCTCCGCCACCAAGCTGGCTGCCACGCCCCCTCCGCCACCAAGCTGGCTGCCACGCCCCCTCCGCCATGGCCGGCGAGAGCAAGGGCTTCTGGGAGCCGGCTCAGGGTCTGGGGAAGGGGCGCTGGAGGCGGCCATCTTGGGTGGCTTCACCGATTGCTGCGAGCCGCGGCCGAGGCGGAGCGTCCACCCTCGTGCCGTCCGCAGCCGTGGTCACCGCGGGAGACTGCAGGTCGGGGCTCGGGAGGGGACCGCGTGCATGGGTAAGTGTGAGTGACGCAGGGCCGGCCGGCCGCGCGAGCGCGGGGCTGAGCAGGGTTCGGGGACGGCGACCCGCGTCTGGCAGGGTCCCCCGGAGGAGGGCCGCCGCTGTGGGGGCGTGGCCGCGATCGCGCTGCCCCGCCGGGCTCCCGCCCTGCCGCTCGGTCATTTTCCTCCGTATGCCGTCTTCTTCTGGTCATCCCGGTGTGTGCCACGGCTCTCACCGTGAGGACCTGCCACACCGCCTTCAGGAGGGGCGGGACGGCGTGGGGACCCTCCGTGCTGCACCCCAGCAGGCGGCTTTAGCCTTCAGCCCCAAGGCCAGCCACCCTGGCTTCCATGCTTCCTCACTGTCCGCTGGCTTCCTTGTTTCAAGATGAAAATGTAATGCATAATAGATGGAGAGATTTGGAAGCTATGAGAGGGCGTAGCGAGATGTCTACATTTACGCGTGAGCTTTTTCTACGTATCAAAAAAAACCCAACAACAACAAGGGAAAAAGACAAGAGGATTTTTGACTTGTCTCCCAATTTCAGTACTCAATAATGGCTAGTGTTTTGTAGGAGAAAGGGTTACTAAAGGAAGGCAGGAAACTTTGCTTCACACCGAAGTGCTGTCTGTCTGGTCGTGGGGGCTCAGAGTTGGCATTCTCCTCTCTGTTCGGGCTTGTCATTTTCTAACGAGGTGTCCAAGCACAGAAAAATGAAATTGCATTAACAAGTATCAGAAAAACAAAGACCCTTGGAAGTTCAGATTCCAATGATGTGCTTAACTTCATCCAGTGTGGTTTTTGTAAGAAGTGGATAAAAATAAGTTTATGAATGAAAAAGAAAGAAAGAGAAAGAAAGAAAGGAAGAAAGAGAGAGAGAGAGAGAGAAAGAAAGAGAGAGAGAGAGAGAGAAAGAAAGAGAGAGAGAGAAAAAAACAAAACCCAGTTTGGCAATTTTCAGATGTCTGAATAGCATTTCTTATATTTCAAAAAAATTTTTGTGAAATTCAAGCCTTTGAATTTCAGTCCTTAAAAAACTTATTTTCCAGCTAACTAGATTTCTTTGGGTGAGATAACACAGTAAAGAAGGTAAAGATACAGAAAGTATCAATGAAGAAAGAAAATAATATATGTGTTCTTGGAGCTACATTTTATTTGGATTATAAATTTGTTGATAATCTAAGAAGCATCTAGAATGCAAAAGTGTGGTGGAGAAGGGCCCAAAATGACCCAAACAAATGTGAAAAGTAAGATTAGAACTCCTATTCGTTTACATTTTAAGTTGATTCCTTGAAGAAAATGGCTAGTTTTGTAATTTTCACAATGGGATAATAATTAGGATAGTAATGCATGTATGCAGATAAATATTTGTTGTGGAATAGAATATTTGTTTATGTAAAAATGTGTTGCATTTGCTTGTGTTGCAGAATAATTGTTTAACTATATAAAGATGTGTTGCATTTGTTTATGCTGCATTTGTTTTAACTATGTAAAGGTGTGTTGTTGTTTTACCTTGTCTGCTTAAGGCACCTGATTGGTCTAATAAAGAGCTGAATGGCCAGTAGCTAGGCAGAGCAGGGACAGGTGGGGCTGGCAGGCAGGGAGAAAAGGGGAGGGGGGTCAGGCAGCTGGAAGAAGCAGGAAAGCAGGAAGGACAGTATGTAGATGAGGTAAACGAGCCTCAGGGCAGCACATAGATTATTAAAAAAGCTAGCTAGAAACAAGCCCAAGCTAAGGCCAAGCGTTCATAATTAATAGTAAGTCTCCGTGTGATGATTTGGGGGCTGGTGGTCCAAGAAAGCCTGCTACAAGTATTGAAAAGACTGGGGAGGTAACTAGGTAAGTGTGAGGACCTTTTAATCCTCAACACCCATGTAAAGGCAGCACTTGGGCCGGACATGGTGCACGCCTTTTATCCCAGCACTTGAGAGAGAGGCAGAGCTAGGCATATCTCTGTGAGTTCAAGGACAGCCAGGGCTACAAAGAGAGACCCTGTCTTTAAAAATAAAGCAACCCTGGATCACTTTTGGGATCCCATTGCTAGGGTTGAGACAGGTAGGTCCATGGAGCTCCCTGAGGGCCAGCATAAATAACAAGCCACAGGTCCTCGTCTTAAAAAGTGGATGACACCTAAGGAACAAAACCTAAGGCTGACCTCTGGTGTTGACACATGAGCATACACATACACAAATAAGTAAATAAATGTTGAAGATGGAGATACATTCCACATACATAAAAAATGTGTGCTCAAAAATCTTTAAATGCCAGCAATCTAGAAAATGCCAGTATGTAGTTGAGAAAATTTTAAAAGATTTCTACAAAGAGAGTATTATAGTAACTAATCTTGAGTTATTTCAGAAACTAGTTTTTTTCCCTTTGTTTTTCTACATAAGCCTAAGCTGTTAGTGCAATTAGAGAGATTTTTAAAGATACGTTTTCCTTTAAATTTATTTTTATTATTTTAAATTATTTATCCATGGGTATGGGTATGTGAGTGCAGGTGCCAGAGGCATTGGCTTCCTATGGAGCTCAAGTTATGGGGAGTTGTGAGCTGCCTGATTTGGGTGTTGCAAGCAAACTGGGGTCCTCTGTAAGAGCAATACACACTCTTAACTACTGAGCATCTCTCCAGCCTAAGGTCCCTAATATATAAAATAGAGAATAATAATGCATACATTGTTATTAATTAACTTTGATTTAACAATTTCTAATTACTGTTTGTCGGTTGACTTAGTTATTTTTCTATTGCTGTGATAAGACACCATTACCAAGGCAGTTTATAGGAAGGAAGAGTTTATTTGGGCCTTACAGTTTCAGAGGGATAGAGTTCATGACCATCATGACAAGGAGCTTGGCAGCAGGCCAACAGCGTGGCATTGGGACAGTAACTGAGAACTCACATCTTGAGACAGCCATAAGGCAGGAAGAGAGAGACACTGCGAATGTTCAAATCTTTTGAAACCTCAAAGCCTGCCCCTAGTGACACCCCTCCTCCTAATCCTTCCCAAACAGTTCCACCAACTGGGGACCAGATCTCATTCAAACCACCACATAGGTATATATGAGCTGCTGAGACATACTAGATATGTTAAAACTGGGTTTTTACTAGCTATAAATGTGTCATATATTCTGAGCATGTAGTTTACCACTAAGCTAAACCTCCAATCACAAACAAACCTTTCCCCTCATTCTTGAGTCCTTAGCCCATTATATTCTAGTTTGAACTCCATTAGTAGTGAGCTTTGTTTTACTGTCTTTACCAGTGATGTCTGATTACCACATCTGATGCCTGGTTTGGTACTTGGCTTGTTTTCTTGATGAATCAATGAAAGAGTAAAATATATTTAGGAGTGTGTTATTAATGTCAGTACCACTCAGATACTTCTCTGGCTCCCCTTTGTTGCACTCACCCCACTCCCTCATTTTCTCTTACTCTCTTCTTCTCTGTCCTGTTACTTTTGGTTTCCTTTTCTTTTGCCCTTTTTCACTGAAATGTGAATACCATGAAGAGTTTTCCTGGTCATCTTTCTTTTTGTGGCTCTCCATGACATTGGATGATTATGTTAGGACCCTTGTTCTATGTTTGACCTGTATTTTCAACCATGGATAGCTCAAAACAGTGTCCTGAAGTCAGTACTCATCTGTTACAACAACTACAGTTAACATCAGCAGCACCTGCGCTCATTGAGATTTCCCTTGTTTTCTCCCCTTAATTTCTTTAGTTCTGTTCCATAGGATCAAGTTTGAATGCCTCAGCTGGATTGTGGGAACTGTATTTGTTTTTTGTGTATACCTTCATTGCCTGTCTCTTTCCCCTTGGGTCCTTTGTTTCGGCACACTGTATTTCTTACTGCTCTATGTTTATGCCAGACTTCCTTCTTATATTCTTTCTGTTTGAAACGCTTGTTCTTTTTATCCCTTTCCATCCTTTTACAGAGAGTAACAGTGCAGCCCCTCTGAGCTTCCTAAGGGACCGTTAACTGCTGTATCTTACTGTGCTCTCACAGGATTTAATGCATATCTTTTAGTGTACTTTATTGCTTGTACATCTGTAAACTAATTAGCGTCTTTTACCAGAAATGACAGATAAATGAAAGCCTTTTCTGTTTACTTTTTTTTGTTTGTTTGTTTTTCCAGGTAGGGTTTCTCTGTGTAGCCCTGGCTTTTCTGGAACTCTATCCGTAGACCAGCCTGGTCTGGAACTCAGAGATCCACCTGCCTCTGCCTCCCTAGTGTTGGGATTAAAGGTGTGCACCACCACTGCCAGGCAGCTGATTACAGTAGTTCCTGGTCAGGCCTGGGTATGTTCTTCAAACTTATCACAGTAGTGTGTTAAGTAATCACTAAGTATCTGTCACATTTAACTTATAGTTGAAATACTGCTTTAGACTACTGTTTGTTTAGTCTTCATGTGTAAGCCTGGAATAGGTTATAACATAAGCATAAAATGTTCATATCATAAAAATATAATATTACTATACTAAAAGGTTTATAAATTTCTGACTATGAAACTGATGTATATTTCAAGTACAACATTTCATATTTATGCTTTAAAATACTTGTGTTTATATGTGTTGTGTTTTTGAGATAAGATCTCACTGTGTACCTCTCTGTGGCCTAGAACTCTCAGTGTAGATCATCAGACCAGGTTGGCCTTGAACTGACAGAGATCCCAACTGCCTCTCTCTCCCAAGTGCTGACATTCAACGTGTGTGCCGTCACACATGACTTTCGTTTATTATTTTAAAATACATTTGTAATAGAACTTTAGAAATAAAATGTACAAGCACTTCATTGCTTCATAAGAACTAATTATAATAGAGGACTGAAAACTGATAGTACAGTCATAACACAATGACCTCCATGACCTTGGCAATGTCTTAATTAAATGAAAGAAGCCAGACTCCAATAAACACTTGAAGTGTGCTTATTGGTGCTAACACCATATTTTATTGAAAACGGGACTGTATAATACTGGCTGTTTCTTGATTTTGCCGGCAGTATATAATTCAGAAGTTTCTTTTACCAGACAATTCATGAGTTTCCTGACAGTGATTGAAAGGTGTATGTCCTTCAGAAATGTTAACATACCACAAAGGGTAAAGCTATTCAGTCTTGGTCTCTGTAAAATAAGGGTGATCAGTGTTTTGCTAAGGCTTAGCTGTGATTTGTTCCTGCCAAAATTTGTGTCCAAATTTCACTGGCAGTGTAGAAGCCCTTCGGACCAGCAGCTTTGTTCTCTTCTATCAATGCCCGTTGCCTGTCTGCTTCTCTGCTCTGTATGAGTTAACCTCCATCACAAGTAGGGCATCTGCTGCACCTTCCTGGCCTCCAGATCTATGAGCTGACTAAACCTCTTTTAAAAGGAAGTTGCTAGGGTCTCAAGTTTAAGGCATCAGGAAGTGTGCTAAGAATAAGAAATAAATACTAAAATATTTGGTCATTTTTCTCCAATATGATAGAGGAGTGAGAGAATGTATTTTTTAATCTCTAAGTTTCAAGTGGGTTTTATTGGTCTAATGTAATCAGTGAGCTTAAATTTAGCTGCCTATACTAAGCCTCTTACATTGTTTTGAGAGTTAACCTTATCTGTTTTCTTCCCTTAAGATTCAATGGCTAGTCCAGGAAAGGATAACTACAGAATGAAAAGTTATAAGAACAAAGCCTTAAATCCTCAAGAGATGAGACGGCGAAGAGAAGAAGAAGGAATACAACTTCGAAAACAAAAAAGGGAAGAACAGGTAGGAGTTCTTAATATTTAGTGTTGCTTAGCAGCAACAAATCCATCCATCCATTCATCTAATCTGTACCTCATGTGGAGGTTTGCAAGTTTAATTATCATTGCTGTATTTTAGAAAATTTCAAATGCTAAGTGTTTGAGAAAATGGATTTGCTAACTCTGTTCTTTAATTAAGTCCCTGGAATAATATTTGTAAATTCTTTGATTAGAATTTTGTACTTGTTTAGTTACTGACTAGAGTGATTTTCCTCTTGTGTTAGTAAACATTTTGTTACCGTATTTCTCCCCGCTGCTAAAAATGTTTACCTTGAGTCATTTAGATCACCTCCAGTTTTCAGTATAGAATTTGTCCTCAGAAAACACATTGTATACATTTGGGGATTTCATAAGTCTTAAGGTAATTAGTGTCATTTTTCTGTGTTTTCATTTTATGCTTTCTATATTTCCTAATATATTTCTCTATTTCGTAGCCTCTATTTATACTTTGCATATGCAACATAAAGAATATAAAGTCATTTAAGAGTACTTCTTAGCATTTTTCATTCCATTATAGATTTGGAGATATTTATAAGTAGCCCTTATAATAACAAATAATAATAAATAAGTAAATAGTCCTTCAATAACAAACTAAAAATGATATATGAAAAGAACTATTCAAAAAAGTTTAAGAAGGCCTGCTTAGAAATATAATAATCATGGTTTTTCAGCTCCTGTCTGCAGTGTCTTGCAGGACTTACAAAAAACAAACAAGCAAACAAACAAACAAAACACCTGTTGACTAAAAATAGTGTGTACAGTCTGAAGAAGAGCTGTATTTATTTAGTCATCAAAGCACAAGGAGGTTTTGTTTGGTTGTTTTATCTTTCTATTTTTATTAAGAAGTACAGGGATATTTTTCCTGAAAAATTCTCCTATTGCTTTTTTGTTTTATTTTGTTTTAGACAGTGTCTCATGTAGTCCAGGCTGACCGCAGATTTTCTTGTAGCTAAGGATGACCTTGGATTCTAGATCTTCCTGCCTCTACCTCAGGTGCTAGGATACAGGCATGCACCACCACACCCAGCTTCCTATTGCTTGTTAATTGGCTATAGTAACTCTATAGCATGCTATTTATACTGTGTGATTTGCTTTTTAAATCAATATTTCTCTTTTTTAAGATTTGTTTTTATTTACTATGTGTATGTCTGTGTGAGGATATATGCACATGAGTGCAGTTGCCCATAGAAACCAGAGGTATCAGGTGCCCTGGAGCTGGAGGTACAGATGATTATAAGTTGTCCAGCTTGGGTACTGGGAATCCAGCTTTGGTACTGGGACTCTCACTCTGGTGCTCTGCAAGAGCTATATGCACTTTTAACCATAGAACCATCTCTCTAGCCCATAATAAAAATTTTCTTAGAAAAATTCTTCAACAGTTAGTAATCAAATAAAGAAATATGTGTTTTTTCAAGTCCTATAAAATGTAAATGTCTGTTTAATATTTTGAATTATAAAAATTGCTTTGTTTACTCATATGAATCCTATGAATGTTTTGGAAAACTCGGTCTATAAAATAATTTCTCTTTGTTGCAGTTGTTCAAACGCAGAAATGTCTCTTTGCCCAGAAATGATGACTGTATGCTGGAGAGTCCCATCCAGGACCCAGACATCAGTTCCACTGTGCCCATTCCAGAGGTATCCTTTACAAAACTGTGTTTGTGCTGTGCTCCGTGGTACTTCAGAGACAGGATAGACATCAAATAATGTAATTAATGTTCACACAGAAATCGTTGCATGCTAATTTATTTTTGTGTTTTAGGAAGACGTGATCACCGCAGATATGATTCAGATGGTTTTCTCTAGTAATGCTGAACAGCAGCTGACAGCAACACAGAAATTCCGAAAGCTGCTTTCTAAAGGCAAGAGTGATTCCCAGTTCTTATTGACAGTACACAATTTTATGAGAGAGTTGTAGTTTTAAAAATTTGAGACACTTATTTTGCCCTTTTTAAAACCAGAGACAGGTCTTAATTTCTCTTTAAAATGTATTTTAGCCTGGTATGGTTGTGTACACCTGTTTTCATTTTGCTTTTTTTCTTTGGGAGAGGGTCTCTATCTAACCTTGGCTAATCTGGAGCTCATTAGGTAAGTCCAGATGACCTCCAAATCATACAGGTAGGCTCACCTGCCTCAGCACCCGGCTTGGTTGTGTTTACCTTTGATCCCAGCACTTGGGAGGTGGAGGCAGGCAGATCTATGTGAGTTCAAAGCTAGCCTGGTCTACATCATGAGTTCTAATCCATCCAGGGCTGCATAGAGATCCTGTCTTTTAAAAAAATACTTTAAAGTATTATCTTTTAAAAAATATATTGTTAAACACATTGTAGAAAAAATTACAAATTGTAGAAGAATATAAAGAAGCAAATATAAAAATGATTGTTACCAATAAATAAGGCTATAATTCCTTATAGAAATATTTTTTAGACATACTTTTTATTTGTTCAGTTTTGACTTGGAAGAGACAAGGTTTTACCATGTAGCTAAGGCTGGCCCCAAACTCTCCAGATCTTCCTGCCTCACCTTCACAAATGCTGCGAGTTCAGATACACCCAGCTCTTTCATTATTTACTGACCATTTGTAGTTCATTTGGCCAATTTATTTATCCAGTTAATATTAGTATGTCTCATATGTAGAATTTATAGAATTAGTAATTTGAATTGTAAGGAATTTTGAAACTGTTAAGATTTTGCAGATGACACTGAATCCCTGCCTCAATTTCCTAAGAAAGATAAAATTGACTGACGTGAGGAGTAAATGAGATTTTGTTTGCTCAGCATGGATTCTAAGGGTTTTGTCTTTGTTCTCTTATGTATGAAGAGTAAGTGTATTACAAACAGTTATAGGATAGGCCGGCAGGAGGGCTCAGTGGGTAAAGGCGATCGCCACAAAACTGTGACCTGAGCTTGATCCCTAGAACCTGTGTGCTTGAAGGAGAGAACTGCCTCTCCTCCCAAGTTACCCTCTGTTCTTCATGTGTATACCGTGTCATACAGTCATTTGTGAACAGGTACACACACATACCACATAGAATAAGTGTGAAAACGTTTCATAAGAGAAAAGTTATCACATAGATTTTATTTTTTAATAAATACATGTAACTTTTATATCTCATCCTTCATCTTCCAGTAGCTCAGCAAATTTCAGAAATACTTATACAATCAAGAATGACTTCTTTTTTTTTTTTTTTTTTTAAAGATTTATTTATTTATTATGTGTACAGAAGAGGGTGCCAGATCTCATTACAGATGGTAGTGAGCCACCATGTGGGTGCTGGGAATTGAACTCAGGACCTCTGGAAGAGCAGTCGGTGCTCTTAACCTCTGAGCCATCTCTCCAGCCCAAGAATGACTTCTTTTATTCGCTACATTTGAGTATATTTTTTAAGTTGATGTTTATTTTACATGATTCAAATTTTTTCATTATACTCTCTTTCAAGATTTGTTTTTGACATATGCATAGTGTCAAACTGATAGGATTTCTGTAGATTATGTTTGAGAATTTTGAAGTTGCTCTCAATTACTTTTCTACCAAATCTTATCATTATTGAATTTATTTTCTTTAAAGTAAGAATGTAGTTAGAAGGAGTTTAAGTAATCTTTCCATTATCTGTGACGTCAATCTCTGAGCTGAGACTCTTCTAGTAAGAAGACTTTATCTTCTGTAATTGTTCAAACTGTCGTGTTTCTATTAAACTTTACATGCCAATTATTTTCACTGTTTCTTCTTAGTAGATGTTAACCTAAGTTAGACATAAAACGGGTTATAAATGTTTCCTGCCAAATGGATCAAGGATAGGAGAATGTTGGATTTACTCTATTTTTACTTAACCTGTAGTATAGGAAACATGGAAAGCAGCTGAGAATAGAACTGTAAGCAGAAACAGCAGGGAGTTAAGCAGCGTTCTAACTATTTCCAGTAAGCAGACTGGAGTGTGCCGCTGGCTACTGCACAGCCTGCCGTTAAATCCAGCGTGGATTCAAGTCAGATAATAACCATTGCTAAAATCCCCTTATCTGTTTCCCTATCAGAGCCACTCTTGCAAATGTCAATCACGGGTTACACTTCAATTCCAGTTTTACTAAATTTCCCCAAAGCTCTTTGTTTTCACTGCTGAAGCATGTATTTTCCTATTTTGCTTGTTTAAATTGCCAAAGTGTCTCTGAATCTTATTTATGATAGCTCATCACCTTTATAAACTATGTAGACTCTTATTTTGTTATGTATTATTAACAGCAGTTCATGGTGTGTGTTAAATTAGCTGGTAATTCTAGTGCACTTTAATTGGACTCTTTTGGATGGAGTAATAAACTGTTGCTTTGAACTTTGCCAGAAGAGGCTGCATCTGTGTTCTGATGTAACTGACAGGTCTGTGTCTGTTGACCTGGGGATACTGATGTAGCTGATGGTTCAGTGTCCGTTTCTCACTGCCTTCTAACCACACGTCCTATGTTTTCATCTCCTATCTCATCGCTTCTGTCCTCAAAAATAAAAAATTGTTTTTTTTTTTTTTAAAAGGAAAGTTTAGAGTTTTCCAATAGAAAAAGAAAAAAGGTGAAGCTGGTAACCCTACCCCTAAAATTCTGAGACTTTGAAAGGTAGAGGGTAAAGGGTAGAAGTGTCTACTAATGTTTTGTAAGATGGGGAGGGTGGGCATTTTGAAGTCTGGACTTTTATTAACAACACATGGAAAAAATTTAATGGACATAGTTTTGCCAGCTTTGCAGAAGTCACAGGGAGAATGAGAGTTCTTCTCTCTCATGTGACTTGGTGAACAGCTGTTTTAGTACAGTCAGGTTGAGCATGATAGGTGTATGTGACTCGGCTATGCTTCATTAAAAAAAAGTTATAAAAACAAGTGCATCTAATAGACACACAAAGTATGTGTGGAACACAGGAGAAAAGAATTCAGTTTAGGAAGTTTGTGAAGTTTTATAAGTGGTAATAGTGAGTAATAGTAGGTAAAATAGGTACATTTCTATGAAGAGAATAGAAGACTTATAGGAACACCAGCCTAGAAGCTGCTGAACCAGTACTGTTTATTGAAGCCGAGGTACAAGAAAGATTTCCTTTTATGTAGCTGGTCAGTACTTGAAATAAGTTTGTTTGAATTTTACATCAATTACAAGAGGATTTATGATTCTCAAAAGTCTGCATTTCATGAAAAAAATTTTAAGATTTTTAGATAATCTAATAGCATTACTATAAATAATAAATAATATCTAGACAAAACAAAATCTTGACTAAGACAGGTAAGTGAGTGATATTATTACTAGTGAGGGAATATCCTTGGAAATCAAGGATAGTGCTATAAGAATTTAGTGGGGACTTGCTCAGTTTGTATTGTGAGTATTCTCCCATTTTGTAAGGATGATCTCTTAAATATATTTCATATTAGAAAATACATTTTAATTTCCTATCATTGCAATTAATGAAAAAGTAGAGTTTGCTTTGTAAAAAGTACTGCAGTAATGAGAATATTTATCTTCAGTTATATCCAGCTAAAAGTTTACACTTAGGTCAGCGAAACCTAGGGAAACTTTACTATGCCATCTGTGATAGTCCCATTACTTCCAATTTGTTAAAGTCACCTAGGAGACGGGCCTCTGAGCATGCCTGAGAGGGACTGTCTTGATGACCTTAACTGAGATGGGAAGGCCTGCCACTGTCATCAGCACCATCCCCCGACGGCATGGACTGTACAGATGCAGAGGTGAACTGAGTAGAGGAGGCTTGTTGCTCTCTCTGGGTGCAGTGTAACCAGTTGCTTCCAGCCCTGCCAGTGTGACTGGCTTCTCCTCTAAGTCTTTAGTCAGGATATTTTATCACAGCACAAGGAAAAGGAACTAAGATACCATGTTGCATGAAGCGGGCATCAGTTCGTTGTCTTTCTCTGTCTATGTAACAACCTTTCTTTTTTAAATCTTAGAACCCAATCCACCAATAGATCAAGTTATACAGAAACCAGGAGTTGTACAGAGATTTGTGAAATTTCTTGAAAGAAATGAAAATTGTACTTTACAAGTGAGTCTGAAGTTTTCTTTCTTAATCTTCTAGAAATGACTGAGTTTCTAGTGGAAATGGCTTCAGTGCTGGCTATATTGTAAGCATTCATTAACTACTTGACAATTAAAGAAAAAGTAGGTATCATTCTTGGCTAAGGCATGGCTACACTGCTAGTTTCTGTTAGGAATTATTTTATTGAACAGTTTCAGGAAACATAAAATCACAGCTAATATTAATGAAATTCTATAGGTATCAGCCTTTTAAAAACTATTTTCTTTTAGAAAACTCAAACTAAAGTGTTTATCTCATTATTAAACTTCTTCATTTCTTTCTGAGACAGGGTCTGTCTAAGTAGCCCTGGCCTTAAATTTAGAGTTCTGCCTGCCCCTGGTAATGTGGTGGAGTTAAAGCCATGAGCCACTACATCCAACTCTGTTGGTTCTTAAATAACTGCTTAAAATGTTTTTAGCTGATCTTCTTTGTTTTTTTAAAGAATAAATTGGTATAACTTACAAAAAATATGAACAAAGTTAGATTTTTTTCCCCTAGGGAGCATTATCTCTGAACTCAGATATGGTTATAATCTCTCAAATCATTTGCTACTGTTTGCCAACATTTTGATGTTACAAAAAGAGATTACATTCTCTCACTTTGATGTCAGTGTATACTCTAGAATCAGACTTATGTTTTAGAATTTGGAAATCAGTGCTGTTGTCAGTAGTGAAGACTGTTGAGACACAGTTATTGAAATTGCAACTGAGAATAGTGGTCCACTTGTTTGAGCAGTTTGGGAAAGGCCCCTGTTTTAGGCATAAGCAAAAGAATATGTAATACATGTGAATGTGAAAAACCTGTTTAGACTTTCTTTTTTTTTTTTTGGTTTTTTGAGACAGGGTTTCTCTGTGTAGCTTTGTGCCTTTCCTGGAACTCACTTGGTAGTCCAGGCTGGCCTCGAACTCACAGAGATCCGCCTGGCTCTGCCTCCCGAGTGCTGGGATTAAAGGTGTGCACCACCACTGCCCGGCCTGTTTAGACTTTCTAATCAGAGTCTCTGAGGAAAAGGCTACTTTATTTTCAGGTCAGTTATTTTGAATTAGAAATAATAGGATTTAGTCTCTGCTTTATATAAGCTGTGAGTACAGACTGAAACAGGTCTAAGATATTTATTACTATTACTTCCAGTGAATGAAAGAAGAAATAAATGGTAATAAATAAATAAAATTATTGAGTGCTAACTTGAGAGCCAGGCATTATATAAAAATGTAAGTCCAAAATTAAGGCATTGTTTCTGCTTACAGAAGTTTGCTACCTTGTGGAAGGTAAGCATACCGAGAGATAGGAAGTACCTCAGTGTGCTTAGCACTACAGCAGAACCGTGAGAGAAGTGCTCTGGGGAACACAGGAGGAGGACGGAGCAGTTGACTGGGGATGAGGGGAGGAGTAGTTCATGAGAGCATAGTTCGTGTAAACAGTGTGGTGTGTATGCAGGAACATCGACTGTATCCGATTCTGATGAAATTCACTAGTGTAATTTGGGGATAGCTCTATACTGTTTCCCACGTGGGTATTATTCTGCTAGTTCAGACTGTTTAAGTTCAAACGAGGTTCCTGTGGGACACATTGCCCTATAGGCAATTTTTATTAGGCATGCACACATTTTAAAATGTGAAGTAGATATGAGGCTTTTAAAAACTAGGGGACATCAAATGAATATACAGCTGTTTTACATTTTTAACAAATCAAAACAGTCGTCATTACTACCACACAATACAGTTGTGTTTATGTGTGTGGCTATGTTGCTCATGAGTGCCAGTGCCCTCCGAGGTCAGAGGCATCACATCTGGAGTTACAGGCAGGTTGAGACCCCAGGTTTTGGTGCTGACAGTCAAACGTGGGTTCCCTGTAAGAGCACATGCGCTCTTCACCACAGAGTGATCACTCCAGCTTCTCCCATCTTTAAAGTCATAGCTGTGCACTCCAGTTTCCACAGGTCTTCAGTAGGTTGTGACTTTACCGGTCTTCGTGAATGCATTCTCCTAAGGGATATCAAGGAGAAATTTGTAAACTTGCAGTTGCTTTCCATGTGTTTCCTTATTTACAGCTGATGAGGGCTAGTATCGCTATTGATGTTAAATATAAAATATTTCCTCAGGGTTTTTTTCCTTAGTCTTTCAGAGGTTCTGCTGTGTGAAAGATTAGCAAATGTAATAAAACCTTTTTGTTGAACAAACACCTAAATGTCTGGCATTCTAATTTTTATGTTCTTAAATGAGGTTGGGGTGACATGATCCCCCAGGAAACAAATAGCATTTATGAGTTTTTCACTCTGTTAGTAGTATCTCTATTTCTTCTTCTCTTGGGACATTTCCTTTATGCTTTCTTTTATTTCCCTTTTCATTCCTTAGTTTGAAGCTGCCTGGGCATTAACTAATATAGCCTCTGGAACTTTTCTGCATACCAAGGTAGTGATTGAAACTGGAGCTGTTCCAATTTTTATCAAACTTCTCACGTCGGAACATGAAGATGTGCAGGAACAGGTAAGTTTCTAACTCATGCCACATGTTGTATGCAGAGATTTCAATTTTCTATTGAAAATACTACTTGTAATTTTGATCTCCACTTTGACTCATTTTTATTCCTAATTTGCCTAACATTTATTTAAAATATGTTATTTTTTTTGAGTCTCAGATTAGAAGTGGGAGAGAGGACTACTTTAGCCATAATTCTGGGTTTTTGATGAGAACTGGTCTCAGCACAGGATCTACTGTTTTTATTTATGACAGAGCACATTGAGACATAAAAAGGAGTGCATCATGGATGCCTGCAAGGCTTACATCTGGAATGCTTGGACTCATTCTCTGCCTGTACAGGGCATAATTTTTCTTGAAAATAGTGTATTACTTCGATTTGAATCATTTTAATAGACTTCAGTAGTAAATTTTCAAAGTTTTTTTCTAAGAGAGAAAATCTGATAATATGATTAGACCATCCAAAGAAATTCAAGTTTTGGTACTTTTATTTTTGCTCTGCATGTTCATCTGTTGGTCTCCTGTTCCATTCATCATTTAGTTTCATGAAATTCTGTATCCACTTAACGCTAATATTGGAAGGTTTTCTTATGAGGTTACTTTTCCAAGAAAAGGTTACTAATTATCCAACACAAACTCATATTTTTCAATCATTCATTATTCACTCCTTAATTGTACATTTGCTATTTCTAGCTTACTAGTGTTAATAATATAGTTGTGAACATCATTGTGTATTGGTTCTTATGTGCTTCTGGGTTACTTGGTTACTTTAGTAAGGAAAGGAGACTACCCTGTCAAAGCATATAAAAAAATATATAGCCCCACCAACAGAGAGAGAGAGTACTTTTTTTAAAGATAGGGTGACAGGGCTTTACTATGTAGCCTTGGCTGACCTTGAACACACAGAGATCCACTTGCCTCTGCCTCCTAGGTACTGGCTAGGATAAAAGGCACACATCACATCTGCCCCCCTCTTGATAATGTTACTTCAGATAATAAGAATTATCTTCAAAGTAATTTTTTCCTTATCTTGTTTTAATTTTTTTTAAATCTTAGATCTCAAGTAGATGTTAAAAGTAATAATTCATGTTTTAAATTCTAAAATAAGACTTTCCCAGTTGAAAACATAATATGCTTTTGTATTTCCATGAAAACTTTAGAGTATGATAAAATGATAATTTTCATTTGGATAGTTCCTCATATAATTGACATTTACTACCATTTACTTTTAAAACTATACTGAACGGATTAATCTTAAATTTTTAGTCATCATCTAATTCTCATCTTAGTTATTATTTATATTTTGTCCATGTATTTTCTCTCTTACTCAAAAATCAGTACCATTCTAGCTAGAATATTCTTGGCAAAGGAGCAAATCTCTAGTATAAGTAATGAGAAAATTTGCTAGATATATTTTGTCTCTCTTGGTAGATTCAGAATAGACAGACTCGTTCAGCTCTCTTTGAAGACTACTGAAAGTTCAATGGAATGTGAGGGAAACTTCTTAAGTGCCCTTAATTTAGGATTGAAAATGCTATAGCATTGCATTTAAAATTTTCCTTTCCTTTCCTGTTTCCTTGCCTTTGTTTCTCACATGTTCTTGAAAACCATGGTTTTGTTGCTTTACTAACACTCTTAGCAGGGAGTGTCTGGCTTAGGATGTTGTCTTAAGAGCACTGTTTTATTTTTCTCAGGCTGTTTGGGCACTTGGTAACATTGCTGGTGACAATGCAGAATGCAGGGATTTTGTTTTGAATTGTGAGATACTTCCACCTCTTTTAGAGTAAGTATTTTGTTTCAGTTTATCATAATTAAGTTAATTTTGCATTTGGAAAAGAAAGCTATATACGCCTCCATTTTTATATAACAGTTAAATTCTCAAACAATGTTTTATTTTGTAATTTTGAAAGACCCCCCTGAGGAGATCTTCCCTCAGGAGAGACCCCAACCCCAGGGAACACGCCGAAACCACAGATCAGATGCAAACAGCAAGAGGGTTTATTATACAGGTACCTGGGCGACAAAGTCTCTCGGAAGACTTGCGCGCCCTCCTAGGGTAAGGGGGACTTTTTAAAGGTTTCCAGGTGCAGAAGCGCGGTTACAGAAGCGAGAGGCATAGTTACAGGGTTCCCATTGGTGGATTCAATTAAGGTCAGGGTGAACTCTTAAACTTCTCGGGAATTTGATGTGTGTGGCTGACTTGGCCTTGTGGGTGTTTTCCCAGCCCAACTGTTGATTCCCCAAGGTCGGGTAGCTAACCACAGATGTCTTATTTTGACTCAACGGTTTTTCTCCCAAGGCTGGGTGGCTGACCACAGCTCTCTTTCCCAAGGCCAGGTGGCCAGCCACAGTCATGACCTCCCTGTTTTCCCTGCCTTGCAGAATGGCGTTCCTTAGGCTGAGTAAAAGCTTGCTATGAGTGGGGTCTTTCAATTTTTACTTATGATTTGCCAGGCCTAAAGTTACTTGAAAGTAGGTAAAACCAGGAAAAAAAAAACAAAAACAAATTGTATTCTTTTTTAAAATGTCTTTTATGATGCCAGGAAGTGGTGGCGCATGCCTTTAATCCCTGTACTCGGGAGGCAGAGGCAGGCGGATCTCTGTGAGTTGAGGCCAGCCTGGTCTATAGAGCAAGTTCTAGCACAGCTAGGGATACACAGAGAATCCTTGTGTATGCGTGTGGCGCGTGTGTACACACACACACACACACACACACACACACACACACACAGAGTCTTCTGTGTTCTCTTAATCTGTACTTATTAGTAGTCATCACTTACTTGATGACTTCAGTGCTAAAATAATTCTAACAAGGATATATACTACTTTATAATATAATAACAATTAAGTGGTTCCATAGCATGAAATTTTTTTTTAAGATTATAAATATTATGTATATATTGTGTGTGTATTTGGGGACAGGGGTGTGTGCACATGACTACACTTGTCCATGGAGGCCAAAGGAGGGTGTCAGACTTCTGAAACTAGAGTTATATATAGGAAGTTGTGAGCTAGGATCTGAACTCAGGTCCTCTGCAAGAACAGCAAATACTCTTAGCCACTGCCCTGTTTTTCCAGGGCCTCATAAAATGGAGTCTTTAACACTGAAATACTGAAACAAATTGTGTATTCATGATGTCTGCAGAATTTTATATTTGTTTTTGAAATGTCTGCATTACAATGACCATAAGAGATTTTTGTTTTAGTGCTTGACAGTTACTTTTTACTCAAGGTGACTGAGCAAGTGGTTTCTTCTCTGGCTGCTTTACTTACAAAATTTATCTTTTTTTTTTTTAAGATTTATTTATTATATATACAGTGTTCTGTCTGCCTATATTCCTGCATGCCAGAAGAGGGCACTATATCTCATTATAGATGATTGTGAGCCACTGTGTGGTTGCTGGGAATTGAACTCAGGACCTCTGAAAGAGCTGTCAGTGTTCTTAAACTCTGAACCATATCTCCAGCCCGAGATTTATCTTTATTTATGTGTGTGTCAGTGTTGGGAGCATGTTCATGTGAGTGCAGGTGCCTGAGGACAGAGGAGGGTATCAGAATTTCTAGAACTGGGGTTACAGTGGTTGTGAACTATTTGATATGGGTGCTAAGAACTGAACTTCAGTCCTCTGGAAGAGCAGCAAGTGCTCTTAAATGCTGAGTGTCTTAGCTGTTTGACATTTAAAAATAATCATATTATAATCTAAGGTCCTTTAAAAAAAACCTACAGAAATTGTTTGAAAGAGAGATTTCTGTATACAGGCTAATTAGCATTCACTGAAAGGTTCACTAGGTTAAATGTCAGTGATGAGTATTATGAAAGAAAAAAAACTAATCAAAGAGATGATTAGAAGAAAAATAACTGTCATTCTGTGGCATTCTCCATCCTTTTCGGGGAGGAATTAAATAGAATAAATTTAAACATTTAGATTAGTGTGCAACCCTTTGTTCTAATAAACAACATGGAAATGATTTCTTGACATGACAATACAATTAAACTTAATTAAGAACCAGTTGCTTGCCATGGAAATGATTTCTTGACATGACAATACAATTAAACTTAATTAAGAACCAGTTGCTTGCAGGTCACTGAATTGTTTGCTACAATTTACTGCTGTGGACTTACTTTTTTGTCATTGTCCTTTCCATGTGACATTTTTCTGATCTGATTATTTGATTTGTGGATTAACTGAGCATTTTGTTTCTTTTTATGCTTTGGGTGCTATTTCTCTAGGAAATTTATCAGATTGGTAGCAGTTTATGAAGTAGTAAGCACTTGTTAGCTTCTGGTCTCTTAAACGTTCTACAGAAGTCTTTGTTGATGCTGACTGAGCAAATCTAAGAAAGAACAACCCCCCCCCCCCACACACACACACACTATCTAGCTGTGTACTGCTGGAAGTTTACATAATGCATTTCACAAAGAATGTCTGAAAATACAAGAGTTTCATTATAAAATTTGACCACAGAAATTGAAAATTTCATTCAGAATTTGAGAAGTGTGTCATAGTGAGGCACACCTATAATCCCTGCACTTGGGAGGTGGAGGCAGAAAGATCAGGAGTTCAAGGTCATCCTCTGCCATATGAATCCCTGTCTGGGGGAGAGGACAAACAAAATATTGGAAAGTTTAAAAAGAAATAAAATAAATAGTGCTAGCTACCAGATGTTGTCACTAGATGAAAAATGATGATGAATTATTTGTCTGTTACATTGAAATTCATTTTGCTAAGCCGAGCGGTGGTGGCTCACGCCTTTAATCCCAGCTCTCGGGAGGCAGAGGCAGGCGGATCTCTGTGAGTTCGAGGCTAGCCTGGTCTCCAAAGCGAGTTCCAGGAAAGGCGCAAAGCTACACAGAGAAACCCTGTCTCGAAAAACCAAAAAAAAAAAAGAAATTCATTTTGCTAATATTTAAGTAAATATACATTTTCTAATAATGTGTAATTTGATCATTCATGATTGAAGTTTTATTTATTTTTTTGCTAATTTGATTCTTAGTAAATGTAAGTCTTAGTTCTATAGACTATGCTAAAAACTTTATTTAAATGTAATTTAGCTTTATAATTTTGTATTTCTTCACAATAACATATTAAATCAAGATAAATACATAATTGGTTTGCCAATTTCCTCCCTCAAGCGTAGTCTGGCTTCTTAACCTGTTTTCTTTTGCTTTGCTTGTGTCAGTGGAATTGCGTACCCACAGAAAAGCCTAAAATATTTGCTGAAAATACTTGCTATAGTATAGTATAAAAAGGAAAAAGTTTTATTACTTTTGTTTTAAAATGAGATGTATTCTTTAGAGGCTTCATCCACTTATAAGAAAATCTTCAAACAGTGTTTAGTTTGTTTTTAAATACAGATAACATAGACTTTACCATTTTATCTGTGATGGTGAATACTGATTGTCGACTGGAGAGGATCTAGACTAACCTCAAGACAAACTTCTGTGCATGCTTGTGATAGAGTTTCTAGATTGCATTGACTGAAGTTGGAAGACTCAGTTGAGGTGGTACCGTTCCATAGACTGGGATCCTGGGCTGAATAAACATGACAAATGAGCTGCGTGCCAGTATTCAACATTCTCTGCTTCCTGACTGTACATGCTGACTTCTCTGTGTTGAGAAATGCCAGAGCTTCCTCATGATGAACTTTACCCTCACATTGTGGCCTGAAATAAACCCTTTCTTCCTTAAGATTTTTTTTTCTTTTTTAGATAGTGTCTCATACTTGGCTGATCTAGCTTGTAACTCGGTACGTATCCGAGGATAGCCTCATGGCAGTCCTCCTAACTCAGCCTCTTGTGCTGGGATTACAGGATGAATGAGCTGCTGTGCCCAGCTCAGTTTAACCACACTGAATATGCTTTCATGCAGTGGCATCAAGTATATTTCTGCTGTTAACACAATTATCAGCACTGTCTCCTTTCTGAATTTTTATTCAGCTCAGAGACCTAATGCTCATTAAGCATTCACATCCCAGTTCTGCACCACCCTTGGGAACTAAAATGTGTTTGATGCCGTTACCTTTTCTGGCTATGTCATAAGTTGAATAAACAACATGATCTTTGTGTCCTGCTCGTTTCTCTTAGTTTATTGTTTTCACCTGCATTGTTTCCTGTAGTGGTATTTGTTTTGTGGCTGAATAACACTCCGTTTTTGCAAAAAGTAATTGCCATTTTGAATCTGCAAATTGCTTTCTGAATAATATTAAGTGTTTAAAAAGAAAAACATGGCATGCAATATAATTTATTTAGATCTTTAAATATTTTGTAATCAATTTTAATCAACTCTTATGCCTTGATTAAATATATTCTAAGGCAGTCTCTAGTTTACATTGATTGAACGTATGCTTGATTGGTTTGATGGTTTAACAGTGCAGTACATTGATGGAAGCTGTGTTTTGACTGTTGACCTTTTCCTGGATCAGCACTATGTGAGTGGTATCTCGTGATTCCAGGCAGTAGTGGCAAACTGCAGCTGCTAGTTAGCCATAAGATGAGAGCAAGCAACAGATCCTCTGGAGAGTACTGGGTTGCTAAGCTGTTTGGGTAGGTATGTTAGTTTTCTATCATTGTGATGAACTTGTCGGGAGGAAAGGTTTATTTTTGGCTCACAGTCTCAGAGGCTTAGGTATAAGATTACTTAGCAGAGTTGCTTTGTATCTCTACAGAGACAGCATTATCACAGGGATGTGTGGTAGGGTGAAACTGCTGACCCAGTGGTCCAGAAGCAAACTTAACATGCAGAAAGGGCCAGAGTCCCCAAATCTTGAAGTCATTCCTCCAGT